TCTCATTCAATGTCAAAAGTTCGACTTTTATCTATTGTCAAACATTTGTGTTGACTGAACAATGTCTTTTGATTTTACTTGAGAATACTGAAAACTTTAATTTGTAAAGTGAGATTAGATCAAATAAAGTGTACTTTAAATTTCAAATGATTAAAGTAGCTTGATTAGCAGGTAATTTTCGTTAAAGTTTTTGGTAAAACTTTACTTTTATGATTGTAATGAAAGAATCGTTTAGTCAGTTGGTCAGTCTTGCTTGTAACAATAGCGACCAAGTGGAGTCCATTCAATAAAAAGTATGTTCTGAGAGAAAAAATGAGACAGAGCGAATGTCGTATAACGTTTTAGATTTATATAAATATAAACAAGATTTATAAAATAGTTCGCCAAAGAAATTTCACTTCTGGCAATGTACATTGTACGCACTCATTTTTTTTATTACTACCCGTTATTTAATTATATTAGCTAAATTACCTGACATTTCGATTATTTTACAGCGACCGTGATCACGGGCAGACGAGTTAAGCCACTCATTTTCTCGAAAATATTAGTTTCATTTAAATTAATACTTAGATGTCCTTAATTAATATATTAATGTGTTTTCTCTTTTTCCAGATCTACAACCAAAGCACTATCTGGAACAAATCAGCGACATTCACTAAAACGTAAGTTACAAATTTCATTTACACCATTTTAATATCGTTTTTATTATTTAAATTCAATTTAACAAAAGTGTTTCTTAGATTTTATTAATGACTCAAAAACATTTAGTAATAGCATAGAATTTCACAGTATCGGTTAAATTTGTAAATAATTTTAAACATCGAAATTCTACCTCAAACAGACTGCAGGCATATTTTTAGACACTATTATATATTTTTATATTAAATCACGATATATATTATGTTCTGTGAATGCGTAAACATCCAAATAAAAAATATAAAGAGGATATGTAGGTATTAATTAAATTTACTCAAAGGAATTATTTAACTAATTCGTACATAGAAACGATAAATCACAAAGGGTTAGCATCGATAACATAACCTACATTGACGACAAAAGCGTTCGGGTTCTACTTAACTACAAAGTTTAGTTTGTTATGACCCACTAACTCTTACCCTCACATCCACTTGCTTGAAAGTTGAATATATTGTAAACAATTTCAAATACATCACGTTATTAATAACAATTGATATTGCAACAGTAGATGAAACAATCTGCTTTTACACTATTCGAAACCCTTTACCAAACTAGGCCTCTTCTCAATGGAGAAATGGTGATTTCAAACGTATAATTGGAAATTATAAGTCCAAGTTTCCTCACGATTTTTTCCGTCACTGCATGTCAGTGGTATTTCAATACTCTTAGAAAGCCTAAATAACCCGCAAGTTACATTGGTACTTGCCAGGTATCGAACCTACACTCTCATGCATTAGAGGCGGGCCCTTAACCTTCAGGCCACCACCACTTACACTATTATGTGTGGGCATTATTATTATTTAGTTGATTGTAGTATACTAAACTGACTATAGTTTTGAACATAAAACTCATAATAAGAATGTACTCCTGTATTTTTAACAGCCTATCCTCATATTTCTCTTTCACCAATAAACTTTGTTAAAGCTGAAATAAAGTGGAGCTAACCCGTCTCAAGATTCAATTACTATTGTCAAACCAAATAACGTGAGTCTGTTAGGTACGTTCGGTTTGAAAGTTTCTCATAAATAATTCTTCTTACACAATGCATTTGCTAAACAAAGCCTTGAAATGTTAATAGTTTAAGCTGACAATGAAAACAAACTAACTATAAATTAACGAAAACCTATACTATGAAAATATTAAATAAAAAACTAATATAATTATGATTTTTAGATAGAATTCATACACATTGTATATAATAAACAGTAACATGATATTGAATATAACAAATACAAAGTTTATAAAAGCAATATATAAGTGTCAATGAAGTCTTTTATATGGAGATCACTCAATGTAACCGTTGTCACCAGCAGATAATTTATAGTCACCATTTATTTGCGATACTCCAGTCGTATAAAACCGACTTATCTCAGTTGACTTTGGATTGTTTTGTATGAAATAGACTGCTTTTCTTTTGTGAAAGAAGTAGGTCGTATGAATCAAGATTTCAGAAAATCGTATTGAATTATACTTTATTATTTATCGTGTCACAAACATGTACAAATGAGTAGAATGTTTTTTATCGCTCAAGAATACGAAAGATTAAGCGCAGACAACGTATTATTGGCATATATCAGTGAAAACCTAATTATAACTGATTTTAACCACAAAAAAGAGCATATTCTATTAATAAAGAGTCATCAATTCTTAATGAAATACGTAATATTAATGAATCAGATAAATTCAAGGTATAATGTCAGGTTTCAATGTAAATTATTATTATTCAATATAAATTAGCCTCTCATTATTAAAATTACTTTTACTGCTATAATATTAAAAATAATATTTTAAAGATATTCATTCGTATTAAGAATAATATTTCGCAAAACAATGTAAGGGGAATTATTTGGACATATTGCGCCCTTCACCGTAAAGGCCACTCCATACTGACAGCGTCACGAACAGATTGTTTATGACTGTTATTTATTTGCTATTCTGAAAAGATCGTCTGAAATATCTTACTTTGGAATCTATTGTATATTTCTATTTCATACATATACTACCGCTGAAAGAATAATTGTAATCTAAGTAATGTAATATACGTATTATGTAAATAGTATTTATATTTTACTAGTTTTTGCCTTCAACTTCGTCTGCGTTAGTTTCAGAATAAGGAATGTATAGCTAACCGGCGAAGTCTATTCTACCTTAAAGACAGTAGATAAGAAGATTTTGGATTTGATAAACTTTTTTTTTTCTTTTTCAATCGGATGAAAGTATACTATATCCTTTCCCTTGTTCTAAGTTATCTCTCCACCAATTTCAGCAAAACCCGTACAGCCGTTCTTGAGTTATAAATAGTGTAACTAACACGACTTTTTTATATATGTACATATAAAGATTATAAGGCGTTATATATGTATATAGTATACAAATTCTTTCGTATTTTATTAAAATATTTTATAATATTGAAGTATATTATTCATATTGAAGGATTAGTTGAACCATTATCTATCAATTATTTTAATATCAAGAATCCATTAGACCGAAACGCTAACTTTGGTAATATAATTAGTTGTTCACATCTTATCGGCAGAACGATTTCATTCTAGGATTAGAAATTAATTTGGATTTAATACTTTAAAGCTAAATAGAGAAATAATTTCCAATTTTTGTCTTTAAATTTAATAGCCATAATCATCAGAACGGCTAAACGGTGTTTAATTTTTTTGTTTTTATATGTGTTCCGAAAATAATGACAATATTATAAGACGAAACATAGCATTCAATGTATTCACCGTTCGGGTGCAGGTCTATTGTTGTAGTGAGAGAAGCTTCAACAGTGCCTGGGACTTGTGACCCAGGTGTGAGTTTAAGAGGGCCCTATCTAACGCGCGTTGAACGCTCATCTCCACCGTTCAAGCTCCCCTTTCTACCCAACCAACAAAGTGCTTTGTAAATACGTCAATAGCAATTAAATGTTAATAAAACATTCTATGCATTATAAAAAGTTGAAGAGTCAACATTCAATAATATTTATGAAAAAACTATTAAAGGCTTTATCCAAATAGAAGATTTAAGTAGTGATATGAAATATATTAAGATTATAAGTTCGTTACACGTCCAATGCGTTTAATTATATTAAAATATAAACCAATAATGTAAAAATCACGTGACATATAATAAAATTGCCATATTAAGAAATTATTATCTTTAAGCCGATTTCTCTTGTTTTCAATCTGAATACAATGCAATACAATACGATTGTATTCTGATCAATTCATTAACTATAATATATTATTAAGAATAACATTAATTAAAAAGCTATTTATTTTCATTTAGCAAAAGATTTATTTCTGTTAAAAAAATTGCAATTCGATCCAGCATAATTATATTCCGGACAGATTCGTGTAACGGTTAATGAATCAGTTAATAAAATTGGACCTAACAGCTTTGGGATCAAATCAATTTGGATGGTAATTTCCATTCCGTAAATAGAGTGTCTGCTAGGGATAGTTGTCCTTTTTCAACTGCATTTTGTTTGAAGTGGGAATTACAAAATATACACTCATTACGCATACACATGCCCGTGCATATGTATATGCATACACACAAAACAGAAACGCACACACACGCACAAATACCATCAAACGCACACATACACACATACCATCACACACACAAAAGCCCAAGAAAAATAACGTAGTCTTCAGTTAGGATTAGTTTGAAGCTTTCTGTTTCTTTACAAACAAATTTTGCTACATCAAACGTCATATAATTATCCTCGTCATCATGTTAAAATTATTGCTTTAATGAAACCATATTTTAACATCACAGGATTCCTTAACTTGAATCCGCATGCATGTTGGTATATAAAAAATATGATCTCCATAACTGATATAGAAGAATTTTATATATTCAAATCATGTAGGAATAAAAAAGAGAAAAAATTTCGTATTTCTTTCTAATGTGAAACGTATTTTTGTTCAGATTTAGATAAATAGATTACGTCGAGCTCTCACTGATAATAGGCTGGTTATAACCCAACATTTCACTGAGAGAACCGTTACACCCGGTGGCGATGTAAGTTATTTAATCATTTTCTCCATAAAACCCAAACTAAATTGTAAATATTAAAAATATAATATTTATTTAAAATATCCCACGTCAAAATCACAACATCAGTAGCAAATTGCTGCACAAAGGAAAATTCCTAGCTTGTTGCATGTTATTGGCGCGAGTCATGTTTTGTTTTCATATTTTATTTATTGGAAAATGATTTTACATATGTTGAATTTTTCTGGTCATTTTTATGGAATATCTTATTGCTATTTGATTTATTATTACATTATTTTCAGATAAGTATGCAATGTGCCGCCACTGGTGATAGACCTCCTCAGTTTGTTTGGGAGCGAGATGGAGTTACTGTTTCAAGCAACACAGATCCTAGGTATAGCATATTTCTAAGCTATTTCTTTAATCTGATTCTTTTTAGGTGTCTTTTGACTTGTCCTAAATTTCGTTCTATTTACAATATAGTTGCCCCGTATGAATCTAATTTTAAAAACTTTTAAGAAAATAACTCTTGTCAATGCTAAATATTTCAAATTTTTTGGTTATTAGATGGAAGATACTTTAGGTTTTAAAAGTTTTTTTTCTGGCGTTTAAACAAATTAATCCATGAATAATTACTTTTCATGAAAATATCATAAAGTTTTTAAATCGTTCAAAAAAATTTATCCCCAAAATTAAAACCAATTAGCTAGATAAGATTGTGCCAATCACACAGAGACCGCATGACATTCCGTTTCCAAATGAAATTCCGCGTCAGTGCTATCGTTTAAAGCTATTCCGAGTTTATATCCAGCATAAACTTTATACTTCTTTAAAACATCAAAATAAAACTCTATATATTTCGTAGTTCTCTGCAATATAAACAAATAGGTATATAATTACTTACTAGATTGTGTGACAATTAAATATTTTGACATACAAACAGGTATGCGTTAGGACAAATTATGACGACAGATAACTCTGTAATAGCCCAACTCAATATAACAAGGGTTCGAGTAGAAGATGGTGGATTATATGCTTGTATAGCGAAAGAAGGTGAACATGTAGCCAGCAGTGAGAACAGACTGGACGTTTATGGTAAATATAATCAGCTTTTCTGTATTTATATACAAAATTTAACAGAATTTCACACTTAATTTATTATTGTGTATTAGCAAACTGTGTGCCAATTAGTTGTATTATTCAGGTCCACCTTACATTCGATCACTACCACCAATTAAGGCACAGAGTGGTGAATCAATAAATCTCAGATGTCCATTCTATGGATATCCCATAAGGTAATTATTATTAAAACTTACTAAGATGAGGCATTACTAAGAGTTTGAATGAAACTAATATTTTCGGATTACTACAAGTATCTTATTATAAATATTTAAAAATTATGAATTCCGACGTTTAGGTTACTTTGCGGCAAAAGTGATCAAGGGAGACGAGATGTTAGTTATTAATCCGAAGTTATTAGTTTCATTTAAATGAATACTCACGAAAGTATTATATTCATTCTTACTTAGAGTTTTATGCCGTCTATTCTTTGGTAATTAATTTCTAACTGTCATTGTGACGCCGTTTAGCAATTTGAATACGTCATTTAATAACAAGATACACTCGCTTTATGCTCTTGTTTCTTTCAAACTAAACCAAAACTAATCGAAAAGTTTATTTCTTTGAACTTATGTTATGTTAAAAATATATTTAAGACACATTTTATATCTATTCGATGACTTATATTTAATAAAATGAATTCTATCTCTCTCTGATTATAGCAAAGTCGATTGGGAACACAAAGGCAAAACAGTTAACCTAAACAATCTTTTTCAATCACGTTATAAAAGAACACAAAATCACCAGAAAAGAAAATCAAGAAGAAGTATTGTCAATATACACGGAGTATTGACAATTCCTGTGAAGTAAATAAAGAAGATAATGGTGCTGTTTATACTTGTATAGTGACATCACCGTCTGGTGAAATGGCTAGACGTTCGTTTGAAATACAAGTTATAGAGGCACCTATTTTGGAGGATTTACTGCTTGGTAATAACCTACAGGAAGGTCAAATAGTAAATATTTATTGCAACGTACGAAGCGATGATTTACCGATACATTTCGAATGGTTGAAAGACGGAAAGAGAATTTCAAGCAATTTGAAGGTATATTCGAGAATTCTGCACTTTATAATAATTGTTCTGAGAGATTTGTTTTTGTTTATGTATAGTAGATTGTAGATTTATTTATAAAAACTTTTTATATGGATTACATCATAATGCTATCATAATTTTTGATCCATATATTTGTAACGGTTTAAAATATTAGCACTGAATTAAATGTACGCGTCAACTCAAAGGGACATTTCAATAGAATTAATTGCAATACACATCAATGCTATTGAACTAATGGAATGAATATTTGATTAAAAGCGTATAAAGCGCTATTTACATCAAATTACTCATATAGAAATTAGTCAATTACTTGATTGTAAATGAAAATAAAATTCAACTAAGTTATGTTCAGGTAGTCGAAAGAAGTTCGGAATTATTCAGTGCACTAGTGATCAAGAAAGTTGCATTGGAACATTGTGGTACATATACTTGCGTGGCATCCAACCACGTAGCGAAGGTCAATAAGTCTACGGAATTGTATATCAAAGGTAAATTTTTCACATTGTGCTTCATTTATTACTGCTCTGCAAATTTCCAAAATAATCATTCTGCTTATTAAATTGACAAATATTACACACACAGAATTTATACACAAAGAAATTAAGGCAATATAAAAGTTATATAAAAATTATGAATTTTGTAACTATTTTTCCTTGTTTCAGTTGCGCCCAAATGGCTAGAAGAACCATCACATTCGTCTCTCTTGCTCGGAAGAAAAGGCATTGTATCATGCAGTGCGAGCGGCTATCCACAACCACAAGTACATTGGATGAAAAAAGATGGTACAAAACAACAGTAATATTTGATCTGGGTATATTAAAGTGAATTGATATATATTCCATTTTTTAACAGCTCTTCTGGGTACTTGGCAACCTGTCCTTGAACTAGCTGGAGGAGGAATCCTAAGTCTTCCCAACGGAAGTCTTGTCATTGAAGAAGTTTCTTTGACAGACGAGGGCTTGTATTCGTGTAATGTGGAAAATGGTGTTGGAACACCATTGAGCAAAACCGTCTGGATGACAGTCAATAGTATGTAATTTATATAGAGAGTAAGATTTTTATTTTCATGTGATGATTAAATTGTGCCAACGTCAATTCACTATGTCCTTATCATGAGCTACCGCAGATTCATGTATTTTTACTTTTATTTATTAGAATATTTTTGAAAACTAATTGTTTTATTTTGAATTTTGATAAGCATCTGAAATCATGAGCAACATCGCTAATTTTTTCCCTATACCCTAACCTATTTACTTATTGTTTATAAGATAACGTATGTATGTATAATATTTTAGAACCAGTGCACTTTGACACGGCATCAGCTAATGTGACATCACGACTTGGCCACGCCGTCTCTTTGGAATGTCGCGCGCTTGGTGATGACCCTATCAGAATCACATGGAACCATAATGGAAACAATATAGACTTCCAAAGTCACAGGTATGGCATAATGTTCCAATTTTTGACATTAGCTTTTTATCTAAAAAAGGAAATAACTTCAGATGAAGAAGTCTAAAATAATCTAAGAATCTATAATTCAAAAATATTTCACATAAGTATGTATAAAATAAAAATCCAATATAAAATACTTTTGGTTCAATGAATTTTTAGCAGTATTAAATTTCAATAAACACTAGGCCGTAATGATAGTAGGTAGTATAAAATCTAATCATCAAAACAAATAAAAATGCTCTTTCATAAATGTACATATATCGCTCATTAATCTTCAAAGAAATCGTATCAATTAAGAGTTAAATTATCCACAGAGCAAAACACTCAGAGACGAAAACCTCGCTTGGTGTAACCAGCACCATAAATATACAGTATTCAGAAACAGCCGACGCTGGCTTCTATCAATGTAGAGCGAGCAATCCGTATGGATCAGCTAGCTTCAACACATTCCTTACTATATTAGGTAAGTTGAGTTGTTTAACAAATACTGCAATTATTTTCTTTTGGAAGTCAAGAATATCCTTGCAATTTGACACCACATGACATTGAATTCTTTCACCAATCTAATAAAACTAAGAACTTTGCACTGATATTTAAAAAAGCAGATAAAATTTAATAATTAAATAATAAAAATATTAAAAAGAATTCAACAATTTTGTAAGCTCAAAATTTTAAGCTACCCAATAGTATGGAAATAACGTTCCCTTCATCTTTACATTACAAAAAAATCTGTTGAAGTTTCGACAATTTTAGTGCTTACCTGTTCATGAGTTCGCTATCAAAAATATCACAAATTAATAAAAACGTATACATAACTTTAATTATTACACACAGTTGGTCGTAAATAATATATATTAATATTTGTTATCAACAGAACCCCCCACCCCTCCAGCCGAACTCAGAGTAGAATCAGTTAGATCTCGTACAGCATCAGTTTCATGGAGAGACGGGGCACACGCCGAGTATTACACATTACAACACACGCCCGCTCATTACGCCGATGACTGGGAATACGCCGTTAGTCTTAATATTACGAGGTAGGTGCTATACTAATATATAATGAAAGGAATATGGAATAAAAACTTGAAAATGATCGTATAAAGAATACTTGAATTATAAGTTGTATTAATGACATCTAATTAATAATGAGAAAAAAATATATATTTTATTAAAATATATTATTGTATTTAGGTATGGTAGATTGTTATCTTTACAAAAAAAATATTACCTTTTGAAGGCTTTCTGCCAAATTTCAATTATTAAATTAAGTTATAAATGTTTTGATTATTAATACTAGAAAAATAATATATATTATGTGCATATAATACCTATGTATTTTTGGAAAAATATACAAGGAAAGGCAACGACATTCGTCAAACGATAGAACTACAGAATATCCGACCTGCGACGGCTTACGCGGTGCGAGTAGCAACTGGTAATGAAGTGGGTGTCAGTCGTTTTACGGAGCCTGTACATTTTACAACACACGAGGAAGGTAGTTATTATTTTAATTTTAAATTAAATTTACTATTTAAACTGCTAAATTCAAAACATAATTTATGCAATATACCAATAACACTTTTAATTTAACGAGTAACATTCAAAACGTCTGATCTTCGTAAAAATAAAACATTTGTGCGCCTCGGGACGCTCAACAAAAGTTTTTATTTTTTATTTTATTTTATTTTATTTATAGGGAAACAAACAGCATATACAATATCATTATAGTTTTCACATATTAAAATAATTATATAAGCCAACAAAGTTTCCACTTTTGCACAGTTTCATGGAGTGAACATAAAAAAAAGAAATACTTATAATTATAAGAATTAAAACATTTTACAAACAAAAGTGAATTTCAATACAAAAAAGAAAAACAAACATCTTAAATATAATAACTAAATGAGCTTTTTCAAAACACGAGAATACTTTAAAAGACTGTCATTAAAAATATCAACAGAGTTAAACAATGCGTTATAGTTAGTACACGCTCTTACGAGAAAACGATTTTTTGCATAATTTCTTTTACACAGTGGGACAGAGAAGATATGTTTACATCGTATAGAAGAATTAGAACACTTAAAAAATATGTTATTTAATAAATACGTTGAGTCTATAAGATTATTTATGATTTTATAAAGGAAAAGTTGATCTCTATATACCCTACGGTTCTTAAGTGACATAATGTTTAAACTTTTGACAGAGTTTTCACCAAATTTGTAAGTCATTCTTTTAATAAACTTGTTTTGTACGCTTTCTATTGCCAAAATATACTTGGAATATTGCGGATTCCAAACAGTGGAAGCATACTCCAAATGAGATCTAACATAAGAGTTATATAAGATATTGTAAGTATGTATATTCTTGAAATCGCTTCCTTGACGAAATATGAATCCCAGCATACTGTAAGCTTTGGCTGTTATTTTATTTATATGGTGATCAAATATTAAATCATCATCAAGAAGAACTCCCAGGTCCCTCACCTCGGTCACTCTTTTCATTACTTTATCATAAATCATATAGTCAAATATTATTGGATTTATTTTTCTACCAAATGTAATAACATAGCACTTTTCAATGTTAAGATGTAAACTATTGGATAAGCAATATTGTTTTAAAGTAATTAAATCATTTTGTAATTTAACGCAATCATCAGTTTGTTTAATAATTTTAAATATTTTTGTATCATCAGCATATAATAATATATTAGAGTTTTGAAAAGTTTCTAATAAGTCATTAATAAAAATATTAAACAGCAAAGGACCGAGATGCGAGCCCTGGGGCACTCCAGATGTAATAGGGATAAAACTAGATATATGTCCTTTTATCGCAACTGCTTGTGTTCTGTCACGGAGGTAAGATATCAACCATCTTAATAAATCACCGTGTATACCAATATACTCAAGTTTCTTAATTAACAACGCATGTGGAATTTTATCAAAAGCTTTTGAATAATCAGTATAGATGACATCAACCTGATATCCCCTCTCCATGGCAGAAAGAACTATATCCAGAAATTCAGTAAGATTAGATTCAATAGAACGTTTACCAATAAATCCATGTTGTTGAGTTATTAATAACGGTCTTACTAATGGAAAAATATTGTCATAAATAATTTTCTCAAATAATTTAGGAATGACGGACAACTTTGATATACCACGATAATTTTTTATATTATGTCTATCACCGCTTTTAAAAATGGGAACAATTAAGGACTTTTTCCAAACTGGTGGTAGTGAACCCGAACATAAAGACTTAGTGAACAGTAAATATAGAGGTAATGCTAGAGATTTGCAACAACTTTTTAAAAATGTGGGATGGAGTCCATCTGGACCACTGCCTTTAGAAGCGTCTAGATTTGAGAGATATTTTTCTACGGTGTCGCACGATACGCTTATTTTGTTAATTAATGTTTGATTATGTTGAATTAAACAATGTTCATCGGGTCCTGGGTCAGTATTGGATTCGAATACTGATTTAAAGAAGCAGTTGAATAAATTAGCAATAGTATTCCCATCAGATCCAGTTTCACCATCCAGAAACATGGTATCCGGTAGATTATTATTACTTTGTTTTGATTTAATATATGACCAAATTTTTTTAGAATTATAATGAATACTGTCCTCTACTCTTGAAATAAAAGTGTCATAACATTCTACTTCTAACTGTTTAGTTTTATGTCTTATATCAGTAAATAGGTCATAGTCACTTGTTCGGCCATAAATTTTCCAACGTTTATGTACTCGCAATTTCTTGTTAATGAGTTTTATTAATGATCTTGAAAACCATACTGGATATTTGGATGATTCATGTACTGTTCTGGCTGGTATATATCTATCCAATACATTATTGATAATTAAGTAAAATTTGTCAACCGCTCCAATCACTTCAAGGGGTGAAAGTTGTTCAACCCAATCAATATTATTTAATTCATTGTTAATTGCTTCATAATCCGCAATATGGAAACGGCGTATCATGCGCGACGCAGAGCGTAAATTAGGTTCATTTACATTAACATTTGTTGATATGAAAAAAGAAGGATGATGCATGTCTTCAGGTAATGACAACGGCTCAGTTCTTTTAACAACACAGTTACAATTAGAAAGCACAAGATCTAGTAATCTATTATTAATATTAAAGATTTTATTAAATTGACACCAGCCACTAAAACTCATAAATGCAAATAATTGCATAATCATATTGTTGCCTGAAGGATTCTGAATAACAAGACTGTTTTCAGTATTAATTGACCATAAAATGTCTTTGATGTTAAAATCTCCTAACACAATAAATTTATCATTAGGATTACTAATGGTTAAGTCCGATAAAAAGTCAAAAAAAGAAGCTTCAGAATCACACTGATTGACAATCTGAGGAAAATAACAACAAAACAGTCGTAATTTCAATTTTAAATAATCTTGCCCGATTATAATATTAACAAATGATATATCAGCGTCTGGGAAAGACAATGGCATTCCTGAGTGTTGCACATCAACACATAAGCCATGGCGTACCGCTATTAGAGTACCTCCACCCATACTCATCCCTAGGCGTGTATAGTCAGGATCATTACGATACACATTATAGCGGGGATCAAAAAGTTCTTCATCGAAAATACCAGGAAGTAACCATGTCTCACTTAAACAAATTATGTCATAATTAGTGTTTAACAAATTAGTATAAAATAGTTTAGTTTTGGTGCGCAAACCTCTAACATTTTGATAGAAGATACGTAAGTCCATATTAATATATACTACTTTTTGGGTAATAATGCTTATGTGTTATAATACTAACTGACTTTAAAATACATTTTAAAAGATTAAAATTTAGACCTAAGTGTTCGTATGACAATTTAAAATGACAGCACTTTTTAAAATATTCAATATTACATACTAGCTCAAAGTTTATAAAAAATACAGTAAACATTTTAACGACGGTAAATACAAATATAATAACAATTAAAAACTTAATAAAATAGATTTTCGTGATCACAGTCATGATAATACTTATGAGATCTTGTTTAAACATTCCTTAGAAGTAATGTGAATAACAGGCGAGTTATCGGTCTTACGAACCATAACCGTACAGTTTCGGACCCAACAGTATAAGTAGCCTTTATCTTTCACTCTACGTCTAGCCTCACTGAGAAGAAGCTTGTTGTATGCGGACAGGTGATCATTAATATATATCGGATTATTTTTACTAGGGAACCCAATGTCGCTTGCTTTCAGGTTTTTTAATTTACGTAGTGATGAAAGAAAGTCATCTTTTTTATATCGGGCTTGCATTTTCAAAATAATCGGACGGGAATGATTATTATGTGACGTATCATTTTTTACCGCAACTCTTGTTACAAAATCAACATCCGTATTGAAGTTTAAAGGATATCCACTTTTTTCGGCTAATGTTTTTATAATAGATATTAAATTCTCGCCCTTCTTTTGTGGAATGCCATTTATTTGTATGTTAGAACGGCGCACCCATTGTTCATTCCTGTTGTTACTTTCCGATAGCTCTTTAAATTTTAACTTAAATTCCTCGAGTTCCGTTCCAAGCTTATCTATTTTGGATACTTCAATATCTAGGTTATTCATGTGTTCTACTACCGAATTAATTGACGACTCGACAGATTTGATTTTTGTTGACCAAAAGCTAACAGTCTCAGAAAGCTTTTTCAGTTCCTCGGTGATAAAAGTTTTAAAAGATTCCATAGAAGAATGTAAACTGTTGAAGCGGTCATCAAAATGATCAATTAATGATTTTATGTCCAATTGGGATTGAGATATATTAATCTTTTCAGAGGTGTTAGGAAGTTTAGGGCTAATATTGTGACAAGGCTTCTTGGAAATCTTACAAACTGGACATTTCCACTTTGCTTTATTCATAGGAAGTATCTTTTTAAAATCTGTTTCAGTCATACCAACACATAAATAGTGATAGATACTATGACAAACTGTACATTTAATTATATCTTCAGATTTTAAAGCATTAGAACAATGTTTGCATTCCATTATGTTATTTGAAATAATGCAGGTAGAAATCAGCTGGAGTATTATTTATCTAATGCTTCAAGTGCAACGCGTATGGTTAAACGCACTCAGATTAACGACCAAAAGGTCGTAAGTGCGGCTAAATTTCTAAGAACTTACGCGTTTTCTTCAAAACCACGCACAATTCACACTGTTTAACGAATAACTTTTTTAATTTGTTATTTCCTTTAAAGTCTTTTAATAAAAACAATTGGTATTAAATTGTTTGATAAAAACTGTACCTATTTTCGAAAAGTTCACTCCAAATTATCGACTTTGTCACTATAATGTTATAGTTTATAAGTAATAAGTTATAATTTAAACTATTTAATACATAAATTTTGTATATAAATTGTGTAGGTTATTACTTAAATCTTATAATAGAACTTTTTTAGTAATATTATGAAGCGGTTTATCCTCCCATAAGAAGTTATCACTAGCATGTTAATTTCAGTTGAAGACAAGTATTTCCTTTTACAACCCATTTATAACAAAACCTCGAATTACATGAATTCCATCACAAATTAAATTTTTAAAATTTAATGACACAATCTTGATGTTTACTTAGAACTCTCGATATATATTTTTAGTTATATTAATTACATGTAATATACAATTAAATCAACATTCTTTTAGTGTTAAAATAAACAATAATTTTAACTCAATTTACAGCTCCATCGTCAACACCTATTAATATACAAATTGAACAAACTGACAATCCTGGAGACTTATTCGTCTCCTAGCTACCTCCGCCTAAAGACACTCACAATGGAATCATAACAGGCTATCATGTAAAGGCTGTGCCACAAAAAGGATCATCTAGTAAGTCCTCCTAAGAACTCCTCAACTTAATTATGCAATTTAAATGAAACTAATATTTTTGAATTTTACTTCGCCTATTTATTTTTGATTATAAACTACATAATCCCGACGTTTCGGCTACTTTTCAGCAACCGTGATCACGGGCAGACGAGATGTGAGTCCGAAGTAAAAACCGAAAATATCAGTGTCATTTAAATGAGTACTCGCGAAAATCATAGATCTCATTAATTATGCAATGTTGGAAATGCAAATTTATTGAAATTAATACTTTTTTTTAGTTTTAGCGGACACTGATACAAAGACTCTGAAAGTGTCAAAGTTATCCGGAAAACAAGAAACAGTTATCAGTGGTCTACTCAAAAATACCAGGTAGATGGGAAATTTTCATTACTAATCATTTTTTACTATTTGGTGTTGGAGGAACTTTAATTTGTAATATTAAGGGAGTACATTTTATAGATTAAGATAAAGACAATCAATTTTATGTCAATACTACTCTAATATTCAGAATCTCGAAGTAACTCTCATTTAAACTGCTAAATGTCTGACAAATAGAATGACTGAATGAAAACAGTCTACTGATACTTACCTTAAAGTTTTATTTTTCAGATATGCTGTTTCCATATCAGCTTTCAACACCGCCGGATCAGGTCCATTTTCGATTCCAGTATTTCAAGATACTATGGAAGGAGGTAAAATCAAAAATCTTTACCTTATCATTACAAAGATATACTTAATAATTACGGTTTTGCTCCATTTGATATATCAGTTAGTCTGTCTGTTTCACCAAAACATCATCATCTCGAGGAATTTTCTTTGTTTATTACTTACTAGTTTTCGCCCGCGACTTCGTCTGCGTTAGTTCAGGAATTAGAAATGTATGAAACCGGGCGAACTCTATTTTTGCAATAAAGACTGTAGATAAGAAGGTTTTGGATTAAATCAACTTTTCTCTTTTGAGCTATTCCTCCCCAAATTTTTGTCCAAATCCGTACAGCCGTTCTTGAGTTATAAATAATGTACCTAACACGTTTTTCTTTTATATAAAGATTTAAACATTAAATCAATTTAAGGGATATTAAAGTAAATATTTAGCTATAATAATACCTGTTGCAGCTCCCGAAATCGCCCCATCATCAGTTGAATGTACGGCTGTGTCATTTACGTCACTACGCATCGGTTAGCACCCAATAGCGATACACGAACAGGGAAGTTCTTTGATCGGTTACTCCATTCTGTATGGAACTGAAGGTAATCACGATTGGAATCAGACTTTACAGCAAAATAAGAGGCTTTAAATTAGTATGAACAAATTATGTATTTTTTCTTAAAATTAGTAATGTGTTCGTAATATTCCTTTCGAATTTTTAAATTATTATTTATATTTATCTAAGATTTTCCTTTTCCAGAAAGCTCTTGGCAGAACCAAACCTCTCTCCACACTGAAATTTATTTCCAAGGTCTTTCTAAGTACAGCAACTATACGATAAAAGTTGCAGGTTTTTCCAACTACGGTGCTGGGCCGTTCTCGTTCCCAATAGTTTGCACTACGTTACAAGATGGTAAGATAATAATGACTATTTGTTTTATGTGAATAACCCAATAACTACATAATATGACATGATAATTTTATAAAATAATGTGGTTCTCGTCATGAAATCAAATAAACTTGAAAAAGTAATCGAGAGCGTAGTTTATTCAAAAAACATAGTTTCATTATAAATGTGAACACACGAAAATCTTAAATTTCTTCTAAATTCTTAAAATTCTATCCATTCTACTTCCTACAAATATTATAAAATGTGTGTAACAATTTATAGTGCTTCATTTAGCTAATTAATTTCAATACAATTATAATTTCATATACATTGACTAAGTACATTTGACCTATAAAGATCCCCATAAAATATAGACGTAGTTTTAAAGGATCCGTTAAGAATGGTCTATAGTGTAAGGAGTAAATCATGAGTATAATCCAGGACAAAAACAAACATTTATCTTAGTCAGCTTCACATAAAAATTTAATGAAACTAATATTATTTGGATCACAACGCGTATTTTTTATTTTTTAAAAACTGTAGGTATATCCTCGATGTTTCGATTACTTTTCAGCAACCGCGATTACGCGCAGACGATATGTAAAACTTCGGGACTATGTAGTTTTTAAAATAATCTAAAACCCTACTAATCCAAAAAATACTAGTTTCCTTTAAATGAATACTCGCGAAAGGCTTACATCTCATTATTCCAACAAAAATCCAATATATTTCCTATTTGGGTATTTCTTATCAAATGTCGAATTTTCAGGTATATTGTAAAAAAATGTTTTGTACATTTAACGGTTTTTTTTTGCAGAAATGTAAAATGTAGCTATAAAAGGTTTATTATTAAGACATCGTCTTCCATTATTTTGTCCACAGTAGTATATTGTTTCATTCGTGACGAACAGACTTTTTAGTAAAGGATTTTGGAGTAAGGGACAAGATGAGGGAATGATTTTCGGAGTTGCTGCTGCTTATATTTAGTTTTTTATTTATAATGTCACGTTTTCTTTATCAGCGACAGTAGTATAGGATAGCATAAATTGAAATGAAAAAAATATAACCATAATTAAATCATCTGACTTAGCAGCAAAGACCCAGGACTACAATTTCGACATTTTTTGAGAAGTACCCATTTGTTGCTTTAAATATTTATTCCAATATTCAGGGAAATAAATATATAACATAATCAGCAACTTGTATATTTCAGTTCCTGATCCACCTTCAGATATCAAAGTTCTTATTCTATCATCTACATCACTGTTGGTCAGTTAGAAGAAGCCGGAACATTGTAACGGAGAACTATTATATTATACTATTTATGTGAAACCAACTTTTTTGTCCAAATATTTGTACGTAGTCCAAATAGCGCAAACACGACATCCACACTTGGCATGCCAACAACACGTCGTTACGCGTTTTCACTTATTTGTGTATGTGTCTTATTTGTGCAAATATGTCAACTGAAGACGAATAATCCACACATTACATACACATGGTCTTATTTAACCGAACACAATAAATAAACGCCAAGTGAAGTGCCACCTTCATTGTTCGTATTGATTGACAACTTGTTGAGTGTTACCAAAAGTTGCTAACAATGTTATTAATTACATATTTCAATCGACTGTCATATACTACCTATAGATAAAATAATATGACATTAAGATCCTATTACTGTACTAGCAGTGAAATAGTCTATTACCCTTCAAAGTTTTAAAATAATCACACCGTATATATTATTAAAAGTTTATATTGTAACCGGTTTCGAAAAGAAAAACTGCAAATTCATGTACAGTTTATCTTGTTTTCTCCTTCGTCAAGGTAATTATTATTTTAAAGTCAAACTTTTGCACAGCCCTGGTCCACCTCTAACGAGTCGTGTGGATCCTTCTCGGACCACAGCTGAGATCAAGGAGTTGACGAGCGGAAGATCGTATGAAGTGTGGGTGACTGGAAGTACCGCGGCTGGCGAGGGCGCGCCTAGTAGGAGAGCCTCGCATACACCTGCTAATAGAGGTACACATATACCGATGTATATAATATATACGTTCACTCTATCCTTCCTCGTTTAGTGCAAATAGCGCTTCGTTTTCAAGTGTTATTTGCTTGGGTTTTGCCATTTTCAAAAGAAAATATACGATCAGAGCAGTAGCTGATATATTTCGAATATAGACAATGTTAATATCACAACTTTCACGTGCTAATATTCACGGGCGACTATATAGAGTATGAAGACGTAAAAATGACCCAATACTAATAAAATCACATCTTTTCCTAAATTAAGTTGCTGACAGATTAAGCCATAAAAAACCGGTTTCGTCAAAATTAAGGAATTCGTTAAATATGATATATGTGGTATAATAATCCTTTTTGCGTTTGTGTAAACAGTCGTAAAAGTTGTAAAACTTGAGATTATTGTTACCGCTATTATTCGGCATTCATTTGTTTTAAAGATAGGTGTGTTTGCAAACTTTTAGACAGTATGTACATATGTAAGTATAACCATAATCAAGATAGGTATATAGATATCGAAAAATTGTCGAAATGAATGTGTAAAAATTCAAAAATTTTACTATTTATAAACAAAAAATCCTAAGGCACGTCTTACATTACTTCTTTAGGTATATTACTACAATGGTTACCCTTTTAATATTTAAATAATAAATGAATACAGGAATAATGTTCATTCATTATTTAAATGAATATACGCAAAAATCTTAGATGCCATTAGTTGTGGAATGTTCTGAATTTCTCTTACTATTATTTGTTCCCAGTTGTGGCCGGAGTCGCATCATTAGGTGGCACCATATCAGTGGGAGTCAGTTCATCCTTACTACTCGTGTGTCAATGTGTCGGAGTACCACCACCTCGCACTGTGTGGTACCACAAACATAATATAATAACACATCATCCGAGATTCACGAGGAATCATGACGACAGCTTGCTGATTAACAGTAAGTGGTGTATAGAAGATTATACAAATAATTTTATATTTTTAGGCCCATTTATTGTTTGATAGAGTAATGATGATTAATTAATGAAGTGCCTTTGAAGTTAAAACCCAACAAAGCGAATTTTCCGTACATTTAATTCAATCTCAAACCTTCCAAAATTCCTATATTTTTTGGGATAACAACATACTTCAAAACACAACACCTTTAGGTAACTTGATTATCGCTTGTCGAACATTTTTGTATACGGAATTAAAAACTATTGTATCTACATATATTATACTTAGACTTGTATTACTTAATGGGCACCCAAAATCCTGTATTCAGTTCATGTATTTTGTAATTAATTAATATTTTTTTGTTATGATTTCCAGACATAGACCAATCCCTGAGCGGCAACTACACATGTCTTGCAAAGAATCTGTATGGTTCTGATTCAGTGGAGTACACCGTAGTAGTTCTACCACTGCCCGAAGCACCAACACTACGAGCCACGCCATACAAAGACTCGATATTAGTTGAATGGGAACAACCTTATTATAGCATCAGTAACCGTAGCTCGAACCAGAAAATTAGTAAGTTGGTTTGTGAATACACTAGCTTTTCGCCCGCAGCTACGCCCGCGTGAGAGAATTCTAAAAAGTTTCCAAGAGAACCTTCCAAAAGTCTGGGATAAAAACTATCCTATGTTCCTTCTCAAGATCAACTCTATCTCTGTACCAAATTTCATTAAAATCAGTTTTGTGGTTTACGCGTGAAAGCGTAACAGATAGACAGACAGACAGAGTTACTTTCGCATTTATAATATTAGTAGGGATTTAAGAATCACTATAGGATAAAATAGCGATATATTCATGTCCGTGAAGTATGGAAATGAAATTAAATATGTGTTGATAAAAGAATTTAAATTTTAGCATCCAACTCAATAATTGAACTTCTAAGTCTATGAAAGTACTCGTAGATATAACTGAAAAAGATTCAAAAATAAACTTGCCTCGACTATCGTACTATACGCGAAATAATAAGAATGTTCGCTGTTATTTTATCCTGTTTCCATTTATTCACAATTTCTAGAATATAATAATAAAATGGACAAATAATTGACAATGATAGTCATTATCTAATCCTACATTTTTCAGCTTATAGCCTAACATGGAAAGAAGCAAGCGGTCCGTGGCAAGAAGTGTGGTCACCAAACAAAGTACCTAATAAATTATCAAACCTCTCTGGAGTTCAAAACATGCGCTGACTGGTCTTAAATGTGGCACGAAATATTCTTTGAGGATCACAGCTACTAACAAAGTTGGTACATCACAACCAGCGTATTTGGATGTTAGCACGTTGGGCGGACGTAAGTATACTTAATACATACATGATTTCGATTTCCATATACACATATATTCTCATATTATGTATAATTTCATCAAACATTTAATCACATTACATATAATCACTCGATATTTCTTGCAAAATGTGATCATATTTTAATCATCCTTTTTTTTGTTATAATACTAATAACCATACAATAATAAGTCATTGTGGGCCTAGTGCTTAAAGGCCCATCTCTCGTATAGGGCACGGGTTCGATCTTGGCAAGTACCAATGTGATTTTTTTCGAGTCATATGTAGGTACTTTCCTTTAATAAGATGCCTTGCTCAGCAGTGGTCTCTGATAGGTCGAGGACGCTACATTAATATTCGTATCTTAATATTTTAGCTGCCATCGCTCCTACGTCAACGGAGTGGTTCTGGAGCAACTGTTCCCACGTGTTCATCCAGGCCGCTGGTTGGGATGACGCGGGATGTGAGCTCCGAACGTTGGAGCTAGAACACCGGGCTCTTGGAGCGAGGAGCTGGATGAGGCCTATCAATATATTGGTAATGTAACATACTAGTATTAAAATGATTTATATAAATGACGTTTGATAGAAAACGAGCGCTGATTATAGCGATTTAATAGAAATGTGTTTTGATATAAGATTCTTAAAATTTATGGATGTACTTAGTTGTGCTTTGAATAATAAAGAATATAAGGAATATAAACTGTACAAAAACTGTCATTTATAGCAATTATTTGCCCGTGACAATGGTGTAATGCTATTTCTTTCTTTTAATAACTTGGACATTATATAACCTTTGCAATATAAATTATGGATATATAAAACTATACACCTGTGATGATATGCGTGAATAATTTTATTATAATCGTAGAAGTAGCAAATTAGTGAAGGATTAACAAAAAAAATGAATTATTTTTAAGCCAATATCTCACTTGTTTATTCATACGTGTCTGACAAAAACGTCACATATGATGCCTAATTTTAAAAATAACTTATTTCAATTAATATTTATATTTACGTTTAAACTTAATTTTTTCTTTACTCACTTTTCAATCAAATATACCATCATGACCTATACAATATTCCTACGAAACTATTTTGCCTATACACAAAACTCTTTATTTATTGCCACATCTAACACTATATTCCTAATCCTTCCTCGTCAGTCATACACGGGTCACCCCTACCAGTACCGAGGCTCGTTCGCTCTATCAGGCCTGTCCGCCGGCACCTGGTACGTGTTACGTATCACAGCCACCAACGAGGCGGGGAGCGTCACCACCGTTTACAACTACGCGACTAAGAACGAGGATGGCAGTGAGTTAGCAATTTAATGTGAGATATAACTGTATTATTACGTTCAGAAGAATGAATAACTTAAAAAAATACAAATTACAAACGAACAATTTAATAGTTCTTACAAATTTCTAAAGGTTTTTAGTGTGATACTAAAATACAACGATGATTGATACCTCACAGAATGTAACAATGTGATTATAAAATGACTCACGATACCGAATTTATAGAGCTCTGACTGTTACAAATGTTCACGAGCAATAAAAAGACTCGATACAAGACTACATCTTTATAAAAATAATTTATGGGTACTTTAGTGAATCAAAGAGGAGCGTTACTTATTATATAACAATTTTCGCCTGCGTGGAGTTTGGTTATATCGCGTTTTCAAGAGAACTTTTCAAAGGTCTGGGTAAAAAACTATCCTTTGTTCTTTCTCAAGGTCAACTCTATCTGTGTACCAAATTTCATTAAAATCAGTTCAGTGGCTTAGGCGTGAAAACGTAACAGACAGACAGACAGAGTTACTTTCGCATTTATAATATTAGAAGGGATTGTATAGAATTGAATCTAAAAATTGAAAGTCATGATTTTAGAGAGACACAAAAAATAGTTCCAAATTTTTTATTTAATGACCATTTTTATTATTTTACAGGTGAAGTTGGTCCTCCGTCAGAAATCTTCGACATCAACATGTTGGTGATAGTCTTAAGCTCAATTCTCCTAGCTGTCTGTCTTATCTGCTGTGTTTATATTCTAGTTAAGAGGCAACGGTAAGTCTTACATGTCCAAGAATCTAACTGAATTTAAGCATTTTTAATAAAGTTTTTACTTCAAAGTAAAAAGTATATATATATATATACAGGGTGACTGGTGAATTACTATCAATATTTAAGGAGCATACTCGGTACATGATTCTCATTCGAATTATGTAAAAAAAATAGGTACTTAATTTTTGACCAAATTTCCGTATAAATAAATAAAGTGTGTACACGTTCCAAGTGTTCCTAGTGTGGACGCGTGCGGCGGCGTGCTGATACAACAACACGCCGCCGCGCGCGTATGTGTGAGTGTGTAGTGTAGAGTAATCTGTAGGGTGTTCATACGATGCGTAATTAATTACACAACTTTTGGTTAACTTTACTTAGAAGTTTATTAATATTTATGTTATATTAATTTTTATTTCGTCATATATGATCGTCAAATATCACGTCCTCAAATATCGATAGTAATTCACCAGTCACCCTGTATATAATTTCATGCACTAGCTATGAAATTAAGCGAGAAAGAAAATGTGCGCACGCACGGCTCTTTTCCTTGGCCCTACAATAATATACAACCGTAACACACTCTATCTGTCTATCTTCACTTACTTACATCTCCCTCTCACTGTCGTTCGCCTCGTTCGATCACACTTTTCGTAACCCTTTCGTAACGCATTCACCAGCTTACTCCCAAGTCAAGCGTGCGTAAAGGAGTTTTACTTTAAAACCGTAAGCAGTATGTATATCTGTATCTACAAACATGAAGTAACCAGAGCGAATAACCCAAGTAACGTATAAAGGAGTTGATAGTTTGAAACTTAATCGAATATGTTTTTCAGTAATGTCAACTTAACGGGATACCGCGACTCAATAACGGTCGACAAATCTGAAAGTGGCAACATAACAGCTAACACATCACACAGTAACCTAGCGAATGTTAAAGAGAATTCAATGAACGCTCAGAACAGAATATACAGCGCTCCGATACATGTTAGAAATAATAGTAAACATGGTGAGTAATATTATAAATAATTAATACAAATATCATAAATATGGATTTTTTTATAAAAAGATTTGATAATAAATGTTGCATTTGTTTTTTTTTTATATTCAATGTAAGATGTTTACTGTGGACCTATACTGATATATTAGCGTAATGAAAAAATAATATTTGTACGACCAAGTTCTAAGACGGATTTCTTTTGCACGAAAACTCTAGAATTCAACAATTTTATTTGAAACATTCAAACGATTCTTTCTATCTCTATATTTAAGTATGTATTTTAATAATTTTGACCTAAACTATAGCTATATTATTTCCGAGTTATACGAGATAAGTCCTTACGCACAATTCGCTGTCGGCTTTCGAACGTTTGGTCACGCTGAAAACAATGACGGGCCGAGACACATCAAACACAGATATGATACAGGTAGTGAGGACAACGAAACAAGATAAAATATAATAACAAACTAATATAATGAATGTACCAGTTATTATTATTTATGAAACCAATCAATTTAAAATATACGTTACAACTACTACAGTATAATAAAATGGTTCAACAAAAAAATTAATACTTATATTTGTTAAATTTCGTATAGACCATTATAAAAAAAATACGATACGTAAAGATTAAAAACAGAACATCTCTTTTATGAACTTTTTGCATTCAAAAAACGTAAATTAAAGTTATAATCAAAACGTCGGCATTTCTTAATGTTTCCGTCAATAGTTAAACTATAAGTAGGTAAAATTCACTTTCACCATTGAACTTATTTTAGTTTTTATATATTTTTACAGAAACGAGTTTACAAGTTTGCTCCGAGTCAGAAGACAGTGACAGCATATCAAAATCAACCCTCAAGAGCGTACCGAGAAGTAAGTTACGTCTGTATCCCTACTAATATTATAAATGCGAAAGTAACTCTGTCTGTCTGTCTGTTACGCTTTCACGCCTAAACCACTGAACTGATTTTAATGAAATTTGGTACAGAGATGGAGCTGACCTTGAGAAAGAACATAGGATAGTTTTTATGCCAGACTTTTGAAAGGTTCTCTTGGAAACGCGATATAACCGAAGTCCACGCGGGCAAAGCTGCGGGCGGAAAGCTAGTTATGTACTAGCATATATAAAAAGTTGTGTTACTATTCATAACTAAAGAACGGCTGTACGGATTTGGTTGGAAATTTGTGGGGAGTTTGGAATCAAGAGACGAACATAGGATACTTTTGAATTCGTTCGACCTAAAAATAATAATTTGCTATAATAAAATCCAAAATCTGTTAGTCTGGTCAGCTATACATTTCTAATTATGAAACTAGCGCGGACAAAGTTGCGATCAAAAGCTAGTTTATTTATAAAATTAATACAATTACGCTAAATTTACTTCTTTACTTAATTTGTCAATGTAAACATAAAGTAAATTTTAAAATGATGCCCTAAATTGAACACTTGATAGTTTAATGCTACATCTAATACTAAATCAATGACGATTGACAGGTCTTATAAGAAACGGAACGTAATTTCTGCCAATACCTTACTCCATGTTTGAATTGCCACTACATACGAGGAATTTTCAGTATTTCATATTATATAAACTATCCCGTTAATATTTACGAGAGACAAATTAGAAACTTTCAGTTTGTAGTTGAATGATACTATGTTATTAAGGAATTTAACTATGACGAGAGAACAAATACTTAAAAATATTGGCCTACTATGTACTAATAATTATCTTTATGAATAAAAGTAATATTTTCTGTTTTATACAACATACTCCCGACGTTTTGGTTAATTTGCAACAGACGAGATGAAAATGTCTGCTAGTTTTTCTTGTTATTTGTCATCTTCAGCCAAAGAATTCTTAATTTCCTAGCGTGGAAATTAATTTTCATCTCGTCTGCTCGTGATCAAAGGTATATAAAGTATGTACCTACTTGTGTCATACATAATTTTTCCAACTTCCGTCTAAAGCTCGTGCTGTTATTTCAACAACCTTGCACATAATTAAAATATGCGTATATATATGACAAAGCATCATATAAATATATGAAACCGCCATACGATCCATGTTTAACTCTATCTTAGATTTTATTGTTAGTATGACATCGGAATATAATTAAAAATGTTAATTTCAAATCCAATCGTAACGGCCAACATATTTGAAGATAAAATCTGTACCTTATAACTGTTTTCTCCTATTTATTTTAGCTTGATAATTTTTTCCTATGTTAAAAATAATTTAATATTGAAATTTTTTCAATGAACTTGATATAATATAAATTACGTAGGTGTAAACACTATTCAAATAATACTCACTGTTTTTGTTCATTTGTTCACAGAAGCGTGTCGTTTGCCGCATCATAGGTAACTATGTAGATAGAACAATCTAGGAATCAAATTCCACGGACCATGTACATTTTCATTGTAAATAAATACACTTTGTTTAGAAACAAAGTTATCATGTTTTTTTTAAGGCAAAAGTGGCGCGACTTTTTTTCTCGCATCAGAGTCTAGTCTTTTTACAAAATGGCTTCGCTGAAAATAATTTCCATGTGTCATTCAACAGACGTTCATAAGTTTGTATTATTTAAAAAAGGCCACTTTTGCCTTTATTTTACTGCTATTCGATGAGGTATGTTCATATTTAAAACTTATCAAAATATATTTATAAAGTAATAAATAATTTAATTGTTAATTTTTTGTTATATTTGTTAATATAGGTTATGTGATTTTAATATATTTAAGCTAAGCAACCATCTTTTTTTAGGATTATAAGAAGTCTAAGATTATAACTCTTTTCTCGAAAACGTCTAAATTGTAAAAAGTACAGTCAAAACTCTTTTCTGCTATTCCATTATCTCTTGAGAAGATAAACGAAGGGAGATCTCACGCTGTTTTCTTGTAATAAATTCTAATATTATGTAAATCATATGATTAAAATCCTAATTCACATATGTTTATAAAATTATGTCATTAAAATATCATTTTGGTTGAATAAGAATAATATTTCTTAATAATTTATTCATGTGAAATTGTAAAACAGCTGAAGGCTAAATAAGTTTTAAAAATTCTAGTGTATCTTTTTTTTTTTTGGAGAATGTTACAGGTTTATATCTTAAATTTGATAAAAGGTTACGAATCATGCTGTGTCCAGATATTTTGACCTTTAGGTAATATGCTTTGGTAAATTAAAGGATTTCTAAGAATCGTAAATGTAAGACAATATCCGTATAATATTCTTATTGAATCCAATATTGTTTTTGCGTAGTCAGGTTTCTTCTCAGTAAAGCTTAGTGGGGTGAGAAACCTCAAAATGATAGGTAATGCAAATAAAAAAAGAATTTGGTAGACAGTTCATTACTTATCTTTAATATAGAAAATCATATTTTGAATTCTACAATAAACTTATAATTTACTTGAACTCTGACTTGATTTGATACATTTACACCAAACTACATATCTAAATTAGAACAATAGAAATATTGATATAACACTTATATGTACATACATAGAAATATGGGATTAAAAAATTAAATTCTCTTTCTAAAAGAAATTTATCAAGTCAATATTATAATGACTAAGTCAATATTATATTATAATTATATAAAAGGAAAAAATATGGTAAATGCAATCTTATCAAGGTTATATAATAATTAAGACTATTATAGCATAAATATATTAATTGATACTATTCTGGGTTTATCAATTTGCATTGCAACCATAGCTTTGTTGTTGACTAAGTGTACAACGAAAGTCTTTACAAATCTGTTACCGAAAATTATTTTTCAGTAAGGTTCAACAAGAGTTTTAGATTTCTTGCCAATCCACAAAAACATAGGACATATGAATGTACTTATTATACAATATACTTTTTGTTACTAAAGAGTTCTAAAAATGAAATAAAAAAGAATTACATTAACAATGTTTCTAAGTGGCCAATTCGTAACATCTTCAGTGTAACTCATTTATTAATAAATCTTTATATTTATTTTCCAGAGTACTAAATCGTCGTGTAAACCGGACAAGTCGACTCAACAATGACAGCATAGCAAAATGCTTGAAACGATATTACACTGCAGAATTAAAGACAAGAAAAACTAGATGTCGCACTATTAAAATTTTTAAAAATAAGCAATTTTTTGATATCCTTCTCAAAATGTATTAAGAAATGGATATACCATGTATTATATATATATATATATATATATATATATATATATATATATATATATATATATATATATATATATATATATATATATATATATATATAAATATATATGTATATTTTAAATTCTAATTTCAAAAACTCGGGTATGAGTAGATCAAATTAGTGTTTTTTTAAAAAAACTTTAAATTATATTACAAACATCACTCACACTTTTATATTATTTGACAAATATACATATGTACCTATTATATACATGTAATGCAGAGGTACCTATTTAAAATATTTTTTTTAATGTATCTGTTTGTGGTTTTGCAACATTTATATAGAATATAATATTCAATTTTGCATTACCTATTAAGTTAAAACATTAATCATAATATAATTTTATGAACTCATATAGGACTTATTATGTTACATGTAAAAAAACTGCTATTGTTGTAAAGGTTTGTTTAAATATGTTTTACATAGTGATTATAAGATATTTACATAGTGATTTTATAAATATTCGTGTAGCTGAAGAGTAAATAAATTAAAACATGTATAATATGCATTCATTAACATCATTGTCTATCTATTATTTAAAATTAAGGGAAAAAAAGACAGTAGTTACAATTAAAATAGATTTATTTTATAAAAAGAAAATATTATGAAGTTAATGAAATAAGTCTAGTAAGAGTTTATATAATGAACTACATATTTAGTGGCTTTTATATTTGGTATGCATAAATAATTAAGGAAGTCTTATAAATTTGTATGAGGAATATTAAAATAAATTTATCTAAGTGCAGAAAAAGTCCTTTAAATTATTAAAATATTAAAAATGTATTAAATAATAGAACCTCAATCTAATTCTACCTTGTAAAGCAAATAAATGTATCTTTAGATAAGTGCTCAGAATCTTGATTGAATGTAGCTTCATTAAGTTTTGATATGTTCACATGGAAGGGAAGAAAGTGTGAATTAAAATATATATCTTTTTAAATTCTTTTTATATTAAATATTATATAGCTTATTTAAAATTAAGATAAGTATACTATGGTAAATGACAAACCATTTATGTATATTGATAAGGACATACAATGATTCAATATTAAAATTTAGCAACAGAAGGTACAATTTTCATATCTTCATGTTCTCAAGATCTAGAAAGTTTTAAAATTTATATGATTTTTTTATAAATAAAGATTTTTTTTAAATATTTTTTTTAAAGTTTAAAGACTACGTATTTTCCTTTCTTCGCATGAATTAAACTGTCAATAGGACAACACAATATAGATAATCTCTATAAATATTCGACATGTTCCCTTGTATGTAACAGACGAACATCGCTAATGGATCACATCAAAGTGACTTCAAGCCATTAGAACGAGTGACATAGTGAAATTAAATAGAGGAAAATGATTTAGGAATTGCCGTTTCATATTACGAGGACATTGAATATAATTAAAAATTATATCTAAAACGAGAAACTCAAAATAAATGATGATTTTTTTAAAGAACTTACATGGTATTACAAAAAGTCAGTGGTGGCCTAGTGGTTAAAGGGTCCGCCTCGTTGCCGAGGGCGCGGGTTCAAACCTGGCAAGTAACAAAGTGATTTTTCGGAGTCATATGTACTTTCTGAGAGTATTTAGACACTATTGACATACGGTGAAGGAAAACATCGTGAGGAAACCTGGACTTATACAACGTGTAACATAATTAACGCACACCCTGAAAGTAGTTCGTTC